TATCGCTTGTTAAGTCCTACCGTACCGATGGTACTTTTCAACCGTTGCCTGTTGAGCAATTACCGGAGGAGTTCTCTGAGGATACTACTTATCCGATAGACCGAGTATTGGACTATCGCCGCCGGAAGGTGGGACGTAAGTACGTCGATGAATATCTGGTTAAATGGAAAGGTTTCGAGTCGGAACATAACAGTTGGGAACCAGCTGACCACTTTACACCGGATATGACTGCTGAGTTGCAGTTCATTAAGTCCCGTAGTCGTGAGGACACGACTCCTAAAAGGAGGGGATAAATGTTGTGGCCTATGGTTGGTCAATCTAACCAGTATGGTTATGTAATTAACGAATCCCAGCATATCCCAGTTGGATATCGAACGGACGTTCCAACGTTCGAGGCTGAGATCAACTGACAGGTTGTCGGTGGTGTAAAGTGTGACAGTCGTCAATCATACAGTCGCGTCGATCGACCTATCCTATCAAGGAAGGTTAAGAGAAGTCCCGCTGGGCTACGATCACCAGTTACCGATCGTATATAATTCGGTGCGGATGCCTGGTAGGCATGGGTAGTCTAGCGCTGCTATTACTACTGGTGTTGTGGTCACACCCACCTCGCACCTTTATCACCTATTGTGGTCTATTTTCCGCTACTACATTTCACTTTATTCTGGCGCGTCTCAACCAGACTCACTACACTGTACGTTGTACTGTGTATGTACGGAGCTAGAAACTCCACCCCACGGATGCTTTTCCCACTCCTCCCACTCTGTCGCTGCGCCATCTCCACTCCCCCCAACACACACACACACAGAGGATGTCGTTTGCGTTTTTGCCTCAGGTCTCCTCTTTACCACCCCACCCCGCCCCGCCAACACACAAATACACACGAACAGAAGCACACGCATCACACGTTTATTCAACTTTGGTTTTGTTTGTCGTACATCACCCGCTTCCCCACCCCCGGGTGATCCCGCCAGGTGTATGCCTTTGGAGTGGTGCTGTGGGAGATGCTGTGCGGCACCCAGCCGTACGAGTCCATGCCCGTGGGTGAGTAGGAGCGTACGGCTTCTTCGTGCGTTTCGTCTATATATGTGTAATACCCATATGTATGTATACATATATATATATGTATATATATCTATATATATGTATATATATACATATTTATACATATATATGTTTATATATGTATATATATACATATACATACACACATACACACACAAATTTCCCAACCTTATCCGCAACACAGGTCAGGTGATGCTGGGCGTCAGCTTCCACAACCTGCGGCCCCCCTGGCCCGAGTCGCACTGGCCGGGGCTGTGCGCTCTGGGCCGCAGCTGCCTGGCCCAGCTGCCCGAGGAGCGGCCCTCCTTCCGGGAGCTGGAGAAGCAGCTGGTGGCGCTGGAGGAGGAGGTCAGGGTGAGAAGGGAGTAGGGAGAAGGGGGGGGAGAAGGGGGTTTGGCGGCGTCTGGTGCTCCTGAAAAATCCAATTCATCCCTCCCTCTCTCCCTCCCTCCCTCCCCTCGTGGTTCGTCTTTCCCTCCCTCCCCTAAACCCCAAAACCTCCATTCGTATGCGCAGGTAGAGAGCCTCCGACACACGCAAAATATCAAACGGGACAACGCCAACCAACCCAACCACCCAACCGCCAGCAGTTCGAGCAGCAGCCGCAGCACCTTCACCACGCCAACACCCGCCACCAGCTGCCCCAACACCTACAACATCACATCCGCTGCTACAACCTCCACAACTGCCGCCGCTGGAGCCGCCACCGCCACAGCCTCCACAGAAGCAGTGGGTCCTGCGGCGAATGCCCCAACAGCTGCCGCTGGCACATCGACGTCACCATTTGCAGCTGCACCGGCACCAACAGGACGAGTGCTTGCGATGGCAGCTGGAGAGGTGACCGCCGGTGGCGGCGGCGGCGGGGGTAGTACTCCGGGTTACGTCAAGCACCGGTCAAGCTTGGAGTTGCGCCGCGCGGCGGCGGCCGGTGCCGCCGCGGCCTCAGCTGCTGTAGCCGCTGTCTCCTCTGCCGCCGCCGCCGCCGCGGGTAATGCGGATTGGACGCCTTCTTCGCAGCCTGATTCCACTGCCGCTGTAGAGACGGCGGTTGTCGTGAAGCGCTTTGAAGATATAGAGGACAAGGGGGAGAGGGAGGACAAGGCCGCGGCGAGTTTGGTTGTGCACGTGGACACGCCCGCACAGGAGGCCTCAGTCGCCGCCGCCGCCGCGGCCGCCGCCACCGCTGGCTCCAGCGCTGCCGGCAGCGAGCCCCAGTCCCCCTGGCTGACCACCACCCAGATGTCTGAGCTTATGCGGATGGAGGAGGGGAGGGAGAGTGAGGCTGCTGCTGAGACTGCTTAGGTTTGAGGAGGGGAGCTTGAGGATTTAGGGGGAAGAGGAGGGAAAGGAGCCTACTGTGTTTGTGGCTGCGAAAATGGCTGACAAGGTAAGCAATACCGTACTGTAAACGCATGCCGCTGTGTACGGATAGTTTTTACATAATTCTGTATCTGTCGTGGACTGTGTCACCCATGTCAAGGTGCATCGCGAGAATTTAAATTTAACCATGTTTGTATATATGTCTGTAGGGTTGTTTTGGCAGATTGTATGGTTGCAGAAAATGAATCTAAAGGTGGTTGGATGGGGGCCCACCCTCGGTGTTCGGGGGCTTAGGGGTAATGGGGTTTTGGTGTTTGGCTTTAGTAATTAACCAGCGCGGTGAGTGCTCTAAATCCTGTGCGGGCTCTCTGTGGAGGTTTTTGTACGACACCCACAGTTAGCCTTGGTCAACGGTCATTGGTTGGTTAGTTGGTTCCCACTATGTCGTGCATGCACGAATTTTGTACGAATGATCTTAGCATTTTGGAAACCGTATAAGAAACGTATTACATGCAAATGTTTCGAAGTGGACTGCAGATGTCGTGATGCGTCATTGGTTTTGATCCATTTCGCCATTTGGCTGGGGCTGGTTGGCTTGCCCAAAGCTGCTTTTGCGGGAAATAGCGAAACGCCACTTTCGTAAAAAGGCGGAAAGGGGTCTTAGGACCCCTTACGACCCTTTTTAGGAGGGTCTCCTCTCCCTCCCCCCACCCCCCGGGTGCTTATCCGGGTGTTTCGCTACGTCCCGTCACACCACACCCCATGCCCATAACATTACAAATTGCCATACACCATACACCGTACATATGTGTTCTGGTCCTTCAGTATGTTGCTGGCTGCCGCTAGCTTACACACACGACTGCAAGCAAAAACGATTGATTATTTGTTTTTCTTTCTTTTCCCTTTCTGTTGCTCTCTTGCTAAAACATAGAAGCAACTTGCAAGGCGTTTTGAAATGTATGCGATTCATCTAATATTCAACGTGTTGATTTTGACCGCGTCGGTGCAGCCGTACGGATTTTTGTGTCGTAGACCACGGCGGGAGCGAGGAGCCGCGACGCCTCGCTCTCACAACCGCCCACCAGACAACACGTCGTTGACGATGGTGGTACTACCGCTGTTCGGATTAACTGACGGATCCTGAGGGGTCATGTGGGGAGAAGTGTGTGGCCTGTATGATGATTGCCTCTTCTGGTGGGCTTTGCTGGTCCTCCCATTGCTCGGGGGCCCCCCCGCCAGTAAAGCTCCGCCGGGATGAGTTTGGATGCGCATTGTATGTGATTATTAAGAGTATATTGTATGAGCTCCCTTGAGTTTGAATACCGCGTGTGTGCATGCGTGGTTTGGGGGAGAGTACGCTTGCCTGTATGTATGTGCAGTATTGCCGGTGTGTATGTACGCATGCGTGTTGATTTTATGCGACTGCTGGCGGAGCTTTTCGCCAACCCCCTCGTGTGCCTACTTACCACGTTCTGAACAGGTCGTACATTTCACAGTCCTGGGAGTACCCAAGGTTTGTTCGACCCACAGGTCTGCATGGTATTGCATGTGCCGCATGGGACATGGGACTGCGCTGCTTGAGGGTGGTGGGTTAGTTTCAACGCCGGACATGTTCTGGTTCTGGCCAGTAGACAAGAGAGATTCAAGCGGGGCATAATGGGACATTTGACGACATTGACGAGGATGGTGGTGGGTTGTGGCATGGGTTTTGCTCCCGATTGGAGGGCTAATATGGGGCTGATGATGATATGCTGCTGGTATGGTAGGGGCTTCTCCTAGCCGCAATGTGAAGGAGGCAACAGCGCTTCCGCTTCTATGCACAGGTGATGCTTTGGAATGCACCACTTAAGGTGGCGAGGGACAGATACGGAAAGCTATAAGACGGAAGGAAGAGCTGAATGTAGGCTGGTGCGAATTTCGGGGTGGCTAGATACACTTCGCGCCATAGCATTGGCTTTGAGTGCTGAGTAGCAGGAGGAGTTGGGCCGTAAGGTTAGTTGTGTTCGGTATATCTGTGCTGGAAGCAGAGGCGTCTTGCATGGTGGAGCAAGGTGTGAATGGTAAGGAGGTCGGGATCCAGATCCAGATTCAAATTCAGCAAGGCGACACTGGTGGCCTCTGCGAATGCTGGAAGGGTGGATGTCGGAGTTGCGGCTGCATGCAATTTAGTTGCACGCAATGTTTCCCATCTGTGAACGTACGTACCTGAAGTAACGACCGATCAAGGACGTCAAGTGTGCGGGTTCGGGCCTGAGGGCGGCTGTTGAGGAATCCAGCTAGCAGTGTGAGCTAGCGGGAGCTAAACGGTTGCGGGAGTCTTCGTTATTGCATTTGAAGTAAAACTAGGCCAATACCGTAACCCCATTGTAATGCCCATGTACTTAGCGTCTGGATCGACTTGGGTTACGACGGTATAAGACGTGTAGCACGTACCCGGTCTAGAAGATCGGACGAATGGAATGTTGTAATGGTATTAAGAACTGCACTTTTCCAGCCTTTGACTGCAGAGGTTCGCATTTATGCTCCGCTGGGAAGAGTTAACCGTCACAAGGCATATCACCCTCCCGCGAGGCGCACCCCGCAGAGGGTATCCTTAAAAAAAAAAGGCTCGCAAGGTGCTCCTCACTAACAAGTATTGAGAGCGCATTAGCCTGCAGTCCGTATGAACCATGGCAGAACCTCTGCTGTAAACATATGCCGCTGCGGAGGAGGGCATTTGTAGCAAGTGGCAACGGCGCCGTGGAAACCTTCATATCCACATTCGACCGGCACGCGGGGTCAAAGACATACATCCCACATGCAGGCACATGCACGTACAGCCGTAGATTTTATGAAATGGTATAATGTAGGTAGGCACGCCAAACGGTCGTTGGTTCTGCAGGCCCCTGCCACTGCCCGCTGCCCTGTTTATGCCACCCGAAACGGTCCACGTGCGTCGATATGGAGCTTCGTAACTGGAGAACTGGAAGAAGCACCCAAAGCAATCAACGACACACCAGCACACCATGACTCTGCGGAAGACAATGTCGGCGGTCGAGCCGAATTGGGCTAAAGGAACGCTAGTTGGACTCCGGAAGAAAGAACGACGTGCCTGCTGCATCAACTCCCACGTTAACCGTTTTTGAACAATCACAGAAACTCCCCCAGGCGCCTAGCGCAGCTTCTTAAGGTACCCTTCTGCCGTGCACCGCGGCCGGCCTGTGCGCCCTAGCCGCCTTAGCCCATGTAATTCCACACCACCAGGTGCAGCACGAGATTGGCAAGGCAATAGTCCGCAAATGCCCGCTCCGGAGATATCCCCGCAAAGTCCTTATTAGCTGGGTCCACTTGCATGCGCAGGCAAACTGATGTTGGGGACCCAAATACAGGGAGCGGGAGGGGAGGGAAAGGTGTCGACAGGAGGGACTTGTGGAGTCAATTTGCGGATCCTGACATATGGCCGCCAGGTGCCCAGCAGCGGCGGAGGAAGGAATTTGGCATGCCAAGAGCCCCGGGGGTTGGGCTGGACAAGAGGTGTGAATGAGCTGGCTAAAGGGTCCTCAGCAACTGCTTTGCCGTATTCGTTTGCCTTTCTGCAACTGTAAGATTATTGTGATCCGCAAGGTCGTAAGCGAATGCATGCTATGGACGCGAGTCTGGGAAGAGTCCGGATCGGCACTGGCACATGGGGCCGGACTGGAGACCAGAGCTCGTAGGCTCCCTCAATCGAAGGGCTCTCTCCAAAAGAACCCAGCCTTGCCAGTTTATCAAAATCTCACAAAAGCACGTCGAAATGAAGAAGGGGAAACCCGCAAATGCAGTAGGGCTGTGCTTCCCTAGTCACAGATTAATACCCCACTCACCCGTCAAGGCAAAAAAGCCGATGCATGACAGAAATCCTGCTAGGAAGGCATTAAAGGGAAAGGTCCCCACTAGCATCATGTACGCAAACTGCGAAAAGGCATACCCAGGCGTCAGCAAAGTTGAGAAGTTCAACTGCAAATGTGGATGGTTCCAACCTGCACTCCAGCAGTTGCCAGCGCGTAAACAAGGAAGGCATCCAGCACCTGTGTAAAGGAGTCACGCCAGGTTCATCTCAGTATAACTCTGCCAGCGCGTCCGCGTAGCGCATGATCTGGACTCAGCGAAAGGAGGACTTCTTCCGCACCTTTACACGAACAGGACTTTTTTTGTATTCCTCCTTAAATGCATTAACGATAGCTGCTACAACCATTTTCGGTCGTGCAGCTCCTAAATTTTTGTCGTCCGAATGTATGCGATAAGTAAACCTGAGGAAGTTTCTATTGCCACAACCTTGCTATATCGACGCCTTTACAAATAACCCTAGCAAGCTAGAGAGAGATATGCAGGTTGGTACGATAGCCCAGCCGTACGGATCCGTGCATGATTTACCAGCGCGCTATTGACCGCAACCCATCGGTTCCTTCCGCACTTCCTGCTGTCAAGAGCATTGCAAAGCACTCGGCATTGCCCATACAGAACAGCGGAATGTTTGGCATTATTGCCGGGACATGCATTCACGTTATCTAGGATTAAACAGATTGCAAGACCTCAAAAGAGCCGCGGCAGAAAAGAGTGAAGGCCGGCATTTCGGAGCCAATGCGACATGGAGAGCACCTTCAAAGCCCACGGTTTGGACCCGTTTGGCTGATTATGTGCCGTGTGTATGCTCCCCTACAGCTGCCATGCAAGGAAAGTGCTCTCAGAGGCGCCCGTACTGAAATATGTCAGCACGTCATAATTTGCCACGAGGACATGCTTCATACCCCGGGGGCTTGTGCATCTTGTGCAAAGCAAAATGCCGGAGAATGGAGCGTTGGAGACTTTAGCAGCGAAGCGGCCTTTTGGCAGCTCCTTTACCAACCCTTGCCTGACCGGTGCGAAGCCAACACCGCCATACACAGCACACGCAATCAACATAATTTCAGACAACACAGTACAGGATGCAGGATGTAAGCCTATTTAGGCACAGAGTTTGTGCTGGTTGAATATACGGCATGAAGGGTTCGTCTTCTGGCCTTGCGGCTGAAGAAACGCAAGCCATGTACGCACCTAACAAAATACGCAAAATACGCTGCGTTTTAGTTGTAAACGGCCACGGTGTATGCACGTAGCCCGTTGCGTCTCTCGTTGTCCACGTACGGAGACAGCAGCTTCGCGGGATACGACATGCAAGCGTCGGATGTGGCGAAGAAGTTAGACATGCTAATCGCAGCCTTGATGAGTGTTTTCATAATATTCTTGCTGTCATCGCGTGGCGCGGAACTTTACCAATTGTTTAGTTCGATGAGCGGTTGGACTGCGTAACTTGCAGGCGCAATGAACTCGAATCGTAGGGCCGGCTATCTATATCACGCCTTCAGCCTCTGGAGGACTTTTAAAAGTTGTTTCAAATGTATTAGCGTGGCCATATGGTTGAATTTATTCCTGACCAGCTTGCAGCTTTAGGAGGCTGGATTATTTGTCCCGAAAGCACTATTTTCAGTATGTGACCCTGGGTTGGAAACCTATAGTATGGCCTATAGATCTACGCGTTCAAGAATGGCCTCCATGTGCACGCGCCTCATTGCAGCGTTTTTTCTCAGCGTGCTCCTTTGCAGCTCTGCAGCCGTTGGATCTAGCCGGGGCTCGAGGAGTCTTAGGGTCCTTCAGCAAGCATCCGGAAACGAGGAAATGCCAGCAACAGATACAGTCTTCAACAGTGCGCTCGTCATCGACGCGAGCTCCTTCATTTCAGCCTTGCTGAACCAGTCAATAACATACATACACATCAACCGCAGCATCATTATAAACGAGGCCAAAGCTCGTGCTCAGATCCAGCAAGCCGTTGGCGAGGCAAATGCAGCAGTCACGCTTAGCCGCAATGTCACAGTCATCGGCCAAGGCAACCCTGTCTACCTCCTAGACTTCGGGAACGTCAGCAGGATCGTCCGCGTCCCCACCGACACAACTCTCGAATTTCAGAGGCTGCGAGTGCGCGGAATGTACTTGCAGTTGGAGGAATTTCCGCTGATGCTAACCGAAAATAGCGGTGGCAACGTGCACTTTAACAACGTGCAGCTGCAGCGCAAGGCCTGCCGGGCGCTGGAGTATGATGACTTTATGCCCAAGTCCGGCTTGGTGGGGTCCACCGCCGTACGAGTGCCAGCTTACGGGGGCCCGCCCCCCAGCGAGCCAATTGCAGCTAGCGAACCACCGCCCGACGATATCGATACGGCGTGGGATGTCGACCATTCCTACAAGGACAACGACCTTTGCATACCGTTCATATGGGATGATGATGCAACGTTGGGAGTTGACAGTTGCTACGAGCAGCCACTCAAACTTCTGGACACATCCTACACAGTCAGAGCTGGTGCGTTGTGCCACTGTATACTTTCCAAACCTCTTGCACAGGGACCAATACCTCCGAAACCATACCCTCCACATTCTGTCTAATCCTATCTAATATCTGTCGATCTCTGGTACCTGCTTCCATCGCCAGCGGTTCGTCTTACAACCTCCCTCCCCCCCCAAACCGCCCTCAGTCCCCCGCCGTAACGCCGGCAAAACCTCTGGCCATGATGTCCTGCATCTCAACCCCATCATTTAATAGCAGCAATGATCCAATAATTACAGCGGAATTTATTCCGTGACGGCGTACCTTTTTTGTACATGATATTCCCTACCTACCTTGCCCTACTCTACCCCCTACCGTACCTTACCCTTACCGTGCCATCCTTGCCCCGCATGCTTCCCTTCCCCTCGCTCTCCCCCCCATCCCTCGACACGCCTCCTCCCCCTGCAGGCTTTATTGATGATCCGGACAATGGAAGAGGCGGGGCCGTCCCCTTCGCCAGCGACCTCAACCTCAGCTTCAACAACACCATCCTGCTGTGCGACGTCTTCATCAACAAAACATGTGCGTCCATGCCCGACATCCTCGACGGCTGCATCTCAGAGCTCTACAACAGGAAGTGAGTCGCGGGGTGGCTTGGGGGCTGATTTGGGTTGGGTCGGGTTGGGTCGGGTCGGGTCCGCCAGTGTGAGGGCTGCGTACAAGGGTGTGCAGGTTTTCGTTGGGAGGGTGGGTGGGTGGGTGGCAGGATGGTTAGCGGTTGGTGCGTGGGCCCCGGGGGGAGCTTAGCCGGCTTGGGGGCCCTCGGAGGGCAAGAGGGTGAGCCGAGTGTTGGAGGAGTGATTTGCTTGGGAGTGGCAATCAACGGCAGCGTCACTTGGTCGCCGCCGCCGCCGCCTGCCTTGCCGCCCCACCTCGTCGAATGCCCGCAGATACGGCCGGCCACCGCCGCGGTCGTTTTTCCCACCGCCCGTGCCGCCGCTCCGTTCCCCGCCGCCGCTGTTGCCGCCGCCGCCGCTGCCACCGCTGTTGCCGCCGCCGCCACCTGCCTTGCCACCGCCCGCCGTGGTGACGCAGGGAGCCGCTCGACGGGTTGGATCTGGGGCTCTGCTTGCCGCGGTGCTGCCGGCCATTCTAGGTGCGCGTGTATGCATGTATGTATGTATATATGTATATATGTATATATGTATGTATGTATGTATCTATGTATCAGGGGGACGGAGGGGGATAGTGAGTTAGGTGAGGGGGACTGCACCAGACTCGGATAAATGCAGTGTATGCTCCTACCACGTTATTGTGCTGGGGCCGCTCGTACAATCGTACAATCGTACCCTTCCCACATCCTCGCGGCTCATGACCTATTTCCCATCGGCATCTCTTGCCTTTTGAAATAACTACCACCACTCCAGGGAGCGCGCTGCTCGCGACTACCGCACTGGGCGGCGTCCTGTGGTGGCGGCGGCGCCGCCAGGGTGCGGCTGCGGCAAAGGGCAGCGGACAGCTGCAGCCTCAAGACTCGGACAAGGTCGTATTCCAGGTATGTACGGCAGCCATGTGGGACACGTGCGCCTCCCGCCGTCGTCGCCGCTACCGTCGTCGCCTCTCTCTCTCCGCATTACAGCAATCACCAGTTGCTGCGGCGGTGGCGGTGGCGCACTGCTCACTGCTGCTGCCTCTCTATCTGTTGCTTCTAGATGCTAGGCTTGTCCATGTGCACATGTGTACTGCAGGTGTACTGCGTGTTCTTCCCATTTCCCGCCTCCGCTCCCTCCCGCCTCCTCGCGCCCTGTCAAGTAAAACCCTCCCTCCACCCCCTATCCCCCTCAATCTCTCGCTCTCACACACACACACACCCCTAAACACAGCTCACCATGGACGACGGCGCCAAAGGCGGTGGGGCCAGGGGCGGCAAGAGCACCAAAAGCAGCAGCGGCAGCAGCAGCAGCGGCGCTAAAGGTGGCGGCGGCGGCAGTAGCAAGTCCGTCACCTCGCCTCCATTCCGCCGCGGCAGCCGGTGGCACTTCCGCCGGGAGACGTCCTCCACCACCTCCATAAGCACCGCCACGTCTGTCGCCACTACTACTGCCACCGCCGCCACCACTACTGCCACTGGCGCCTCCGCTGCCATGTCTTCCGCTCTGACGGGACTTACAGGCTCCTCCCCCTCCACCTCTCCCGCCACCGCCGCCGCCAGCCCCACGGATAGCTGCGGTGCGGACCCCACTCGGTCCATTCAGCTGCAACACCTGCTGGGTGCAGGCAGCTTTGGCCGTGTGTATTACGGTGGGAGGGGGAGGGGAGGGAAGGGAGGGGGAGGGAGGGGAGGGAAGGGAGGGGGAGGGGAGGGAAGGGAGGGGGAGGGGAGGGAAGGGAGGGGGAGGGAAGGGAGGGGGAGGGGGGAAGGGTGGGAGAGAGGGAGGGAGGGGGGAAGGGCGGGAGGGGCCGACGAACCACGAACGAGTGAAGCTGGGGGAGGGTGGGGAGGGGCATTTAAAGGGGTGAGTGGGTGGTTGGGTATCCTGTATTGTGCAAGATTGTGATTTTTAAAGGCAAACAGACCCCAACATTTAGTTGCTATTTGTGGTGGTAGTGGTGTTCTTCTTGGGCTTTGGATTTTCCCTCCCACATACACACATACATACTAGGGTTTGGCACTACTGGTAACGCGCGGCCATTGCCCCCGGGAGATCCGGGGATCGAGACCTGTCAAGGTCGAAAATCCTTCCAATGGTGGAAGGTATTGCGCCCCTAGTTGATGGACGGTGGTGGTGACCTGGGATAAAGTTAACCTGCGAGCCGACCAGGAATGGAGTTGGGCCGCTGTCGACCCGGCAGATTCCGTTGGATGCTGGTGGTGGGTGCGGAACCTGAGCGATCCACTGAGAAGTTGACTAGGGTGACTGGATGAGGGTGCCCCGAAATACGGGGAAAGGCAGGGTTTCGCAGGGTAGCTGCCACGGGTAAAGATATTCCCCCCTGTTTCACACATCATACATACATATATACATACGTGCATATGCACAGGTACTTGGCATCGGCAGGGAGTTGCTGTCAAGATCATACCCCACTCGGAAACCGCTAATGCCAAGGTAGGGTGGCGGGGCTGGGGGGGGGATGAGGTTGGGGATTTGGGAAATACACACACACAGACATACACACGCACATGAACATGACCATTGAGCATTGTTGGCTGAGAGCCCGAGTCCGTCACTTCCTTCGTGACATTATCCCCAACCCCAACCAACCAACTAACAACTAACAACTAACAACCCCCTTTCCTTCCAGGTGCAACAGGAGATTGCTCTGGTGACTAAATTCAACCACCCCAATGTCGTACGGTCCCTCCATTGCGCCACATTCGATGTGGGCTCACTGGAGCAATCCCACACGGCGCAGGTGGGAGGGGGGAGGGCTGGCGGGGGGAAGGGGGGTTGGCGGGGGGTGGGGGAGGGTGGGGGAGGGGAGAGAGTGAGGAAACACACGCAAGGAAAGGGGATGAGACAGCGGGGTGGCTTTTCATGCCCCCATTCCTCTCGTGTCTCTCTCTCTCTCTCTCTCTCCCTGTGTCTCTCCCTCTGCCTTCCTTTCACCCTCCTAAAGTTCATCGGTATGCTCTTGGAGCTAAACTTTGCGACATTGGGACGGTGCGGCTACTGCTTCTCCTGCCTATTAGACCTCGAAACTTCTTATTATGTACATATTACAACTTGGCCTTATTATGCATAGTCATTTGCCCCCTCTCTCCTCCCCCCCTCTCCCCCCCCCACCTGTCTGTCCCTCCGGGCGGTGGTACCCACCAGCAGCTGGAGTCCCTCCGCACCAGCTCCACGGCTTCGGCCCCGCCCTCCGTGAACATGGAAACGTGGATTGTACTCGAGTACTGCGATGCGAGTGGGTGCCCTGCTCCAGGGGGGCTTAGGGTTTCGCAACCCCTCACTCACCCCCTCGGTCAGTCACTCAGTCAGTCAGTCAGTCAGGGGGTTCACATTCGGTCCATTGGTCCCACCCCCCACCCCCCGACCCCCGAGGTCATTGGTTGTTTCCCGCCACCGACCCGCCATTGATACGCCCGCCCCTGGAGCAGGTTCTCTGGCGGCGCACTTGGGTGCCAGGGCGGCACACATTGCGGCAGCGGCGGAGAGACTCGCGGCCGCGGCGGCGGCGGCCACCGCCAGGACCGCCACCGCGACGGCGACGGTCTTGTGCGGCACGGACTCCGGTCGCTGCGGCGGCGGCGGCGGTCCTGGCGGTGATGTGGTGTTGGCGACGGCGGCGGGAAGCGGGCTTTTGGCTTCCCCTGTGGGCAGTTTGTTACAGCATGCGGCGGCGGCGGCGGCAGGGGCTGGCGCTGGGGCTGGTGTGGAGCCGGCGGCGGAGGCCATGGAGGGGTGTCCTTTGCTATCGCACATGGTGGGTTGTGGTCGAGTGCCGACTGTTTGGTGGACGTCGTGTGGTAGGGCACGATCATATGAGGCGTGTTTACAGCCGCGAGCTGCATCTTGAATACGTGCTGTGTGTGTGTGTGTGTGTGCCCGCTCCACACACCGCCTATCTCCCTCCCACTCCTCGCTGCCGCCCGATGGTGATGGTGTGAGTTCCCATTACTAACATTCCCCTCCGCCCCCCCCCCGCCCGCCGTTGTCATTCCGTCGCCACTCCTGCCGGTACGGCTTCCGTGTCATCCCGTACCTGGCGTCAGCGGGACGTGTTGTCAGTGGCCCTGGATATCGCTGCGGGTATGGCCTACCTGCACTCCCTCAGCGTGTGCCATGGGTGGGTTTGGGGGGGAGAGCTGGGTTTTGGGGGAGGAGGCTCGTGGAGGGGGGGATGAGAGTTGCTGTGTGATGACTTTGGAAGCCATTTCATTCGACTCTGATGATACCCCTGTTTTGCTCGGGATAGCAATTACTTCTATATCTGCTTGAGGTTTTAGTTTCGATTCCCAGTTCCCAGAACGCCAGTTGAGAAGTGTTATTACACCGCCGAAATATGCCTTTCACATCTTGAGTGCCGTCGCCTGACCAGTGGGTGCTTACCACCGCTGTGGCTTAAGGCGAAAGAGGTTCCCGTCCCCTGCCCAGGTGTTACACTTGGGGCTGGCTGGGTGAGGGTGCGGGGGTGTGGGTGCGGTGGTGGGTGTGGGTGTGGTGGTGATTGTGGAGCGAAAGTTTTTCCTTAACCCTAAAAGCCCTTCAGGGACCGTCCACAACCCTTTCCTCCCACAACCCCGCCCAACCCTTTCCTCCCACAACCCCGCCCAACCCTTTCCTCCCACAACCCCGCCCAACCCTTTCCTCCCACAACCCCGCCCAACCCTTTCCTCCCACAACCCCGCCCAACCCTTTCCTCCCACAACCCCGCCCAACCCTTTCCTCCCACAACCCCGCCCAACCCTTTCCTCCCACAACCCCGCCCAACCCTTTCCTCCCACAACCCCGCCCAACCCTTTCCTCCCACAACCCCGCCGGACGCCGCCAGAGACCTCAAATGCGAGAATGTGCTGCTCTGCACAAGGAAGCTCATACGGCAGCAGCAGCAGCAGCAGCAGGAGGGGAAGTCAACGCCGTCAATGTCGTCGTCGTCGACGTTACCGGACGGTGGCGGCGGCGGTGCCGCCAGGCGCAGCGCCGAACCCGAGGATTTACCGAATACCGCGTCGTCGCCGCCGCTGTCGGAACAGGAGGCCGCGGCGGCGCCGGCGGCGGCGGTGGCTGCAGTACATGGAGACGGCGGCAGCGGTAGCGGCAGGAGCAACGCCCGGGGTCCTGACTCGGCGGGCAACGAGAACCGCGGCGGCGGAGGAGGCGGTGGCGACGACGCTGAAGCCGCCGCCAATGGGCCTTGTCACGGCGCCAGCGGCGGCCAATCCGCTGTGGCAGCGGCACCGGCGGCGTCTGCTCTCTCGCCTCCGGCCAAGCGCACGTGTGTCGTGCCGTACGTAGCCAAGGTAGGCGGGGGTGGGGGCATCCGTGGCAGCGGGCGTGTGCCGGTGCCGGTGGCTGTGGTGGCTGCGACAGCGGCGGCAGTAGTGGCCGTGGTGGCGGCGTCGGCGCGGAGGGTTTGTTGGCGGTGCTGGTTGTAGAGATATGTAGCCGGCATAGTTCCCTATGACTGACTTACCTACTTACCTACCGTTCCTACACATGTTTGTTGTTTCGTTGCTTTGGCCATTATTTTTTTGAGTTATGTCGCCGTTGTCGTACATCGTACCGTGTGGGGCTGTTCTACGACGACCCTGTCTATAGACCATTAAACGTTTTACCGATGGTGTTGTTCGTGTCGGACGGAAGCACCCCACCTCTGCAGGGCGCCCCGGCCCAGGGCCCCGCACCACCTCCTCCTCCTCCTCCTTCGCCATCGCCACAACACTCCTTGGATGCCCGGACTCCACTCCACCACGTCCACCACTGCTGACACGCATGGTCGTACAAGAGCGATTATAAATAGTGCCGTGTCCACTGCTAAAATAAACGCCCCCTTTGCGCTACAATAAATCGCTTTTGAACAAAAACATAGATATGTTATAATATACGTAAAAATACATATGTACGTATGTATGTATGATCATCCTTCCTCAGGTAGCGGATTTCGGACTGAGCAAGGTCTTCAATGAGGCTTCTACCCACTTGTCAACCGCCACCGTGGGAACGGTGAGTGACAGACAGGTCCGCTAGCTCCGCTCTCCTCCCCCGGGGGAGGGGGGAGGGGAGGCGTGGCATGCGCGTGCACGCTCTCCGAGTCAAGAGGCTCCGTCACGCGAGTTTGCGCACTCAGCCTCTGAAACACGAAACAAGAAGACTCCACTCCCTCCCCGGCCTGATCCAGCTCCTAGGGTGAGGGTTCACTAAGACAGAGGAAACCCGGAAACCCTGTACAAGCTCAATCCATCCCTACTGCGGCACGAGGCCCTTTTAGAAAGCTCACCCGGTCTCTCATCCGATTTATTCTCTGTTGCGGGGGAGCGGGCAGGGTTCAAGAAACTCGCGCCAACCACCTCTCAAGCGCACGCGACGGGGGCCGGGCAAGGACTAGGCTGGCAGCTATCAGTTCACTGATGGGGCCAGGGATGGCTCGAGGCAGCACCGCGCCGGCACAACTCACACGCCGCGTCATCCAGTCTGCTTTTCAGCCACCCCCTTCACCCGCGACTCCTCCCAAGCCCTACAGCAGCGACCTCTCAAAAGCCCCCCCACTGCTATCCCTGCCTTGGCGCAACCTGTGTGCATGGGTGTCTCTCACGTGTGTCAAGCCATGTTTTAAAAAGCAATGTCACAGCTTTTATCCCCTTTCCCCGCCTCTGCCAATAACCCCTCTTCATCTGTCTTGACCCCAACACCCCAACCCCAACACCCCCCTACCCCCCAGGTCACGCACATGTGTCCGGTTCTGTTACAGACAGGACAGATGCGGCCCTCCTCCGATGTGTTCAGCTTCGGCATCATACGTAAGTGTGGTCGTAACACGCACCACCTCCACCTTCGTACTGTGGTATCCGTACATTTATCCGTACGGTAATGACAAAAATACCTATGTACGACGGTTAAGATGGTCCGTCAAATCCCGAGTTTAAATTGGTCCGGATGTTGCACCTGACCGGAACAAAAGGATTTTCGTTGCATCCTGATGTGGTGGCAGCTAAAGGTTTCGAACAACACCAACAAAGCTCCTTCAGTTTTGTTCATGTGGAAATTCGACAGTCGCCAAATCGTGATTTAAACCCCAACGCTGCCGTATGCGAGAAATTTTAAAACCACCACCTACACGCGTACTTTTCCTGTCGGGATGTACCTGCCTCACCGCCTGGCTCTTGTCTGTCTGTCTGTCTGTCTGTCTTTCTGCCACCCCCCTCCCTTTTTGCCTTCCCTTCGTATCGCAAGTACTCACTTTTCCCCTCCCTCCCATCCTCCACTTCCCGCCACTTGCACGCCATGTGCCCCCCACCCGCGCCGCCATTCCGCAGTCTGGCAGCTGTTGACCGGGGGAGCTCCCTTCGCCGGGATGCGGTATGCCGAGATTGTGTACAAGGTACTTGTCAAGGGGGGGGGGGTGCGTCCGTTGGGGTGGGGACATGCAGCAAAAAACCACACCCACACCACCACCACCACCACGACCACCACAACCCGGCTACGAAAGCCGCTGCTAGGGCAGCTGTAAGGACTGTTAGGGCAGTTCAGCTGTCCAGAGCCTAGGTGATGGTAGACGGGGACGCATCCGTACTGGATTTCCCTGAATGCCAGGCGTGTGATGAGGGGTCTTGACGTGCGTGGAAGATACCGCCCAGCTGGGAGGTGCGTGTGGGGAGGGTGCTGTGAAATACACCATCTTTCTCTCTCTCTCTCTCTTTCTCTCTCTCTCTCTCTCCTTCTCTCTCTCTCCCTCTCTCTCTCTCTCTCTCTCTCTCCCTCTCTTTCGCTCGCTCGCTTGCGCGAGGAAATACGCGATTAACATGACCTCACGATGGCGCTGGTGGTGCTGGTGGATGACCGACATGTTGGTGGTGTGGCGATCTTCTCTCCCCCTTCTCCATTCACCCTTCTCCTCATCACTCGCCTGTGGTTCGCCTTCTCCCCCTTCTCTCTCCCACCGCGCCCCCAGGTAGCCGTGGCGGGTCTTCGCCCCGAGTTCCCTCCGTTTGTGCCTCGGCGGCTGGTGGCGGTGGCGGAGGCGTGCTGGGCGGCTAATCCGAACATGCGGCCTACCTTTGAACTGGTGAATGAAGGGGGGAAGGAGGAAGGGGGAGGGGAGGAGGAGAAGAGGAAGGGAAAGAGGGGAACGCGAAGAGGAGGGGGGATACGGGGCGGCGATCAAGGGAAGGAACAGCGCAGCGACAAAGGAAGTGGATTTTTTCTTCTAGGACATCAACTCAATTATACGATTATAAAATTATACAAGTGTTAGGCCTGACCGAGGGACCGATGGGTCTTAGCACATCCGTTCTCGCTGTGTGCGCACATGTTCCTAATTCCCGGCTGTCGTGTGTAGCTGGTGGGGCAGCTGGTGGAGCTGCTGGCCGCTGCGGAGGAGCTGCAGGCGGAGCAGGACGCGGCGATGTTGGCGGCTCGAGATGGCGGAGTGAGGTTGGAGGAGGTGGCGCTGGTGGCGTACAGCAGTGAAGACGTCGTGGTGGCGAACCAGTGGGCAGCCGCGGCGGCTGCAGCGCTGTTGGAGTGACGGATGTGCAGGGGCAGAGCCAGGCGGAGAAGCAGCAGAGCCGGCTTTGGAGACGAGTCGTAGCCGAGCGTGATTACTGATGGCGTACGCGTTTGCTAATAATTAGTATTATGTACATTGCGCTTGGGGGTTTCCGTTGCGGACGGACTCCTAGACGGTTATTAAGGTTGAGGAAGGTGTTTTCCTTGTGAAAGTTGTTTTGTTTGTGGAATGGGATAGGCAGCGATAATGAAAGCGGAAGAAGTGCAGCAGGGCGGACGTGGCGGTAGCATGGCCTGGCAACAACCTGCGAGACGGTTGCTGCGCGGCTGACGCATCGCAGTTTTGGGTGGGAGGGTAGGTAACTTAAGATAGTGGTTTGCTTGTTAATAACTTGGCAAGATGTGCTGTTGTGCGGTTGTACTGTTGTGCTGTAGCCCACCAGTTGCGATTTCGGACGTCGGGTGTTGTGCGAGGCATGGCGAGGCGTTGGGCGAGGAGGTCTCAAACTAGGGGAAGATGATGGTCGATTTTTATGCTGAGCATTATGAAGCAAATTTGCTTGCGTTTAGTTGTGCATCTCGAAGCGCACTTGAGTCGATCATAAAATGATGTCTCAGCTGGCGTCTCAGCCAGGCAGACAGTAACAATCGCCGTACCATGTTTTCCGTGCTGCGGCGTATAGTTAGGGCCTTCGCAATAATTTAGTTCTTGCCTCTTTGTATATAATCCAAGTACGGGTAACTGTAACTCTTGCTAAGGCCAGCTGCATATCTGCAGGAGGAAACGTAAAGCACTTTAGAGCAACCTATTACTGTCCCCTTAACAGGCTTGGCTCAAGGCCCCTGCGTTGCCTTTATACGTCCTTCGGCAACAGCGGGGGCCGTTTAGAATGGTCAAGGAGGTGAGCTCTTCATGGCTGTTTCTTTCCCTGGTCGTTGAGCGTGCACGCTATTTCACGAACAAGCTGGTGTATGAATTAGCGTGTATGAATTATTATGCCTTGGAGTTTTCACGAAAGCCGGCGTCTTCCTTTAATTTGCGCAGGTTCATTTCTCTCTGTTCCGGTCGGCGTCAGGCCCGTTGCGTGGGAGCCCTGCTGTTACTGACACGGAAAACGAGGAGCCTAGCACGTCGGGTCATTATGTGTCGTCGACAGGCGCGAAGTCATTTACATATGGTTCGAGGGGGCGCCGGACGTCAAGCGTAGTTGACAACGGCAGCGAAGCGGAAGAGCTATTTGCCCTATTGTAAGTTGAAGCTAGAAGGATATGTTGCCTGTAATCCCTGTCAACGAGCAGGGGAATTTGATTTTGCAGACAAGTTGCCGACGGTACCGGTACCAGCCCTCGGCTTTTAAAGCTGATTACAGCGGCTTTAGAAAGCAACGTGGAGAGGAACGAACAGGAGGAGCGGCTGACGTCGAGCACGGTGCGCAGGCTGGGGCTCGGGAAGCAGATGCATGTGCGTCCATGTCCGCGCCAATGTGCCCAAACCGTTGACCAGGGAAGTCGGATTGCACGTTCGCACCACACTGCGTTGATAGCTTAGAGTGACATTGCACAGCTAACTGCATCGTTTCTTTTTACAGGTTGGGAGCCAGCATATGATGCCCACGGGCAAGCTCACAGTGTTCCATGGCCTTCGTCCACCACCTATTGGCTTGCAAGCTTACGTGGAGCGTGTTGCTAAATATACAAAATGCAGTCCTGTCTGCTTCGTCATGTCAATGGTGTACATGGACTTGCTGGGCCAGGTGGGTGGATGGTTGGGTTTTGGAGGCTCTGCTGAAGTAAATCAGATGTTGCGTCCATCATGCCGATATTGTGGGGATGTGCACCCCTTACTTGGCTGTGGTTCGTCTTATCGGTTATGTTCCCAAACAGCTTCCCTGTTGCGTTGTTCCCCAGCATGTTTCCTTAAGCGAGAAGTTGAGCAGCCTCGTGCACTGCGCTGGACTCACAACTTTACATCCGCATAAAGTCTCTCCGTTGGCCTGAGACTCTGCAGTTTTATTAAATCTTGATCTTTATCCCCAGCCATGACGGTAAACGACATTATGGTAGACAGCAAATATCGCCCCCCCCAATTTACAACTTGCGCAGCGCGATCCGGACATGCTACCCTCTCCGCTCAACGTACACCGCTTGCTGCTGAGTGGCGTCATGTTGGCGGCAAAACTCACCGACGATCACTACTTTAACAATGCCTTCTATGGCAGGGTAAGTTTGCAGCTTCTGCCCTCCCAAGCTTTGCTGGGTATTGCATGGTTTCCGCTAGCAATGGCGGAGCCATGTCTGCCTTGATTAGCTGGGACCTGGTCCAGGGAATCGAGATGCGGCCACAGTGGGAGGACTTGGGGCCTCAGGTCTTTGGGAATTGGGGATTGCGGTGGCTCCGGGTTCGCAAGCAGAGTGTTTGGGCTGTGCAGGAGGGGCAACAAGCCCGCGGCCGTGTATAGTGGGTTGCGGTGAAGTGGAACGAGGTCATGTCGCCATCCCTTGCTGTGTGGAGCTGGGTTATGGAAGGCGCAGCACTCGGTGGTTCAACAGTGGTTCACTTACACTACGAGCCGCATTGTGAGCTGCGTATTTTTGGTCCCCGGGTAGCCCGCGGGTGTCTCAGCGGTCGCAGCCGCTGGTGTGGCGGCTGCATATCCTGACGACTCATTCCTGCACCATCTTGGATAGGAGGGATTAATGAATTGGTGCTAGCTGTACTAAGCTAGTCTACGACTCCGTGCATTGCAGGTTGGCGGTGTGAGCGTGCAGGAAATGAACCGGCTAGAGCTGGAGATGCTGCGGCTGCTGGACTACCGCCTGCACGTGCCATGGGAGGAGCTGCGGGCGGTGCTCAAGCAGCTGGTGGCGGGGGCGCTAGTGGTTGGACAGCCAGAGGTGAGTGATTGGGCGAGAGGTGTATGGCCAGGGAGGGGGAGGGGGTGAATGGGGGAGTAGAGAAGCCACCAGGCCCGGGTATGGATCGGGCCCGGTGTGTCCTGACCCTGGAGCGATGCGAGACGGGGTGGGATTACGGCGATTACAGGATTAAGGTTAACTGAGGTATTTCGGGGACTGCGGGTTGGGAGACGAACCCCGGACAGCTGTCGTGAGCTAGTCCGCGCATGTTGAGGCTGCTGGTGACCGCTTGTGTTACGCTTGTAAGGAATAGCGCTTATAACTCATGGTTAATGATGACCACCTAAGCGTTCTGGGTCGCTACCTTCGTTCTAGGGCTGGAGCTCTTCGTTGCGACGCAAGCGGCGCTCCGTGTCGGGTCACAGCCACAGCAGCGAAAAGCGCTCCTCTGCGCGGCGCAGCAGCATAGACTCATCCGTGGGGGCGGTGTCAGCGTCGGCGTCGGCCACGCCGTCCGTTTCGCAGAGCGTGTACTATGACGAAGAGGACGATGGCTGTGCAGATGATGTCATCACGGCGCTTCAGGCAGTGACATCTCCATCGGCACCACGGCGATGACCTTGCCATGGATGGAGTCAAACGGCGGTAGCGAGGTCTGCGTTCGAAGAGGCCGTGAAAGCAGGGGTGGTGCTGCTGCGGGGTCGCGGCAGCCGTCGTCAATACGGCACTAATGCCTTTCGCTTTCAGCACAGCAATGGCGATGTTGCGATCCCGGCGGCGACTGTGGCGGACCGTAGTCTCCCACCTGCTTCCTCCGTCGCGTGGCCGGTTACACTCTCCTTGCCGTGGCGCGGTGGCGTCCTCGCGCGACTTGAAACAATGACGCGACGGAAAGATACCACGTTGCTAAATGATCGGAATGTTTTGGGGCAGTCTGGAAAAGATAGCGCTGTGCCCCAGCGCTCTTCGAGGATGGGGTAACGGCACTTAGAAAATTTATCGTGGCTGGTCCTGCAGGTGCGGTACGCGGGCAGCTGCGCCGTGAGGTGGCTCAGAGCTGAGGAACGTTGCTTGGTAGTTGCTGGCAGGGGCCCCACAACCGTGTTTCAGGCAAAGGCAGAAACCGTTTTCCTGCCTTTGATTTGTCCATGGGATGAGGCTGCCGTTGTTGTTCCTACTTTTGCTTTACAAAATGTGGACCCAAGGGCTTGCCACGTCTTGCGGCAGCTCTGTGGAACCCATTGGTTCAATGGATTTCCCTTCACATCTTTGCTTCCTTCATCTTGCGGAACGTTTTCCGTGGCGCGCAACGAAACGAGATTAACGAGATTTGCACGGAGAGCCAGTCTGTGTGTCGGATGCCATGCGAGAGGGTTGGGAAGAGCTCCAAGGTGGCAGGACGGCGGCGAATGGACCAATATGAGACTGACCGACCGACCGGCTATTCGACGAAGCTCGCTCTGCAGGATGCGCGAGATAGTGCCTCGCGGAGGAGAGGAAGGGATTTGTTTGCTTTTTGCATGCACTGCTACGCATTTCTAGTACTGCTACGTACCAGCCAGGGATTGGGATGGGACAGACTTAGAATTTCTTAGCGCACGTCGATTGGTTGAGTTGGAGGAAGAGGAGGAGGAGATCGGCGCATGTGTGCTCGCGCGAGGTGTGCAGCCGCTGCGGAACAGCAATGGTTGTTTCCTTGTTTTTTCTTTGTGGACAGATTAAATTGCTTTGAGCTGCTTTGCTGGTCCACGGCTTTTGCTGGTCGGGCTAGCCCGGCGGCGGCACGATGTAGGCTTCTACGGGCGCTCTACGAGCTCTCGTTGAGGGTGCGGGCGGATATGTTTGCATTTCCTGTTTTTTTGGCTGATGCTACATCCCACTTGGCCACCCTTGCATGAAGGCTTTAGTCATGACGTGTCCCCTCCTTGACAGATGTGACTAATGCCCGGGGACGGGCTAAAGTCCGTTGCTGCAGCTCTTAACTACCCGCCTGACGAGTTGGGTTATATTCGTCATGGGTTTCGTCGGTCGCCTCTTTTTCAATGCTTGGCAGCAGCGCGACAGGTGTTTGGAGGCTGGAGAGAATCAGAATTTGGCAGAGCCCGTGGGAAACGGGCTGTCACGTTTTATCTGTACGGTGTGTAGGACTCGCTGTGCAATGGGAGTGGTCTGTGCTTCCCGGCTAACGTGGGGAATCCACGGATCCACGGAATTGCTATCCCCTCGTGTGGCGGAGGTTCCACCAGCGCATTCGAAGCTCTTACCTTGCCAGTTGCCTGACCGGTTTGGTCGGTATGTCTGCTTGTCGGTTTGATATCCGGCGTGTCTCATCCCTGGATGGGCGGTGCGTTTTGTTACGCGGTTACGCGGCTGTCTGATGGCCCCTCTGCCGCCATGGGATATATATTCTAGCACCACAGCATCGTCTCTCGCTATTTCGCATCCAGCATGGTGTGACATCCCTGGGTGTGACTCGCGCGCATCTGTTTATGTTGCGCTGCGATTCTCGCCAAGTTGGCGGTTTGGGGATTACTGTGGTCCCACGCCTCAGGCTGGAACCTGCACATCACATCACCTGGGGTTTCTGTGGAGTGACGTTGGAGTTACGAGTCTTGCAGGATTGAAAGCTGTGGTGGGCGGCTTTGTGGTGTCCAGCAAAAGCATCCCTTGCGTGTGCGTCCCTTGTGCGCACTGCGTTCGGCAGCACGCGAAAACTCTGGTGCGTGTGCCCCTTAAAGATTATGGGATGCAAAGCTCGGTTCGCACACGGGCTGAGGCCGATGGTTGTTAATTTCCGGTGGGCTCTGCTGGGCCGCGAAATCCACATCACACACGTGTCTACGAAGGGAAGAGCTAGAAAGCAAGGACTTAGTTCAGGTGGGACAAGGTGGGGTGCTCTGCGGTTTGGCTGCTCTGGATATTCCATCCAGCTCGCTTGTTAGCACGTTAGCATCAGTTTTCGTGTGTGAGCAGGTGTGTGAAGCCACGCGGTGCTCTACACGTACATGGTTCATCAGTCTCGCCTCCGCCACTGCCGTTGTTCCTGTGGTATGAACGCAAGGAGAGCTCGCGATGGTGCAGGCTCTAGCGGCGGATTGCATGTTGATAGCGTCGATAACTGCATTAGTTTTGCCTCATGTCCGGGTGGGCACCGCTACGGGTGTTTTCACATAGGTGGCGGTAGCGCGAAGGTACCGCCGAAGTAGCCTTTCCCTGTCTGGTGCTGCACTGGCTGCTGGAACTACGGCGTTGGTGTTGTTGCGTTGTGTGGCAGAACGGCACTTGGGAAAGATGGAGCGCAACTGGAGGAGTTCCGGGTTGTAGTGGCCGTGACGAAGACTGTTGAGGACATGAGGCGGATGGTGCTCCCGGGATGGAGGGAAAGATTCTTGCATTCTTGAATGGAGCAGGCACCTTTACTCGGGTGCACAGCTTTGTCATCTCCGCCTCGCAATGAAGGGCACTTAACGTTTGAAAACTGTTGGAAAGGTTTTTCTTGGTTTTCTGCATGTACAGCATTTATGGCTTATGCATATATATGTGTTTTACGGGCCGCGTCTCTGCGTTGTATGCATACATACGTTGCATTTAAAAAATCCCGTGTGTCAACGCTTGGCGCCGTACTGTTTTCTCTTGTGCGCGATTGCAAATAAAGCACTGCCGCTTGCGTGCAACGAGGCTGTGCGCGCCGAGTCTCCCGGGGATTCCGAGTTCAGTGCACCGACTTGGAAAGAACCACTGTTCCTTTTCAAACGGATCTGAGTGCATCAAACAACCAATCAAGGAGCGCAACGTGCCCTCCGGTTGACTCTTTACTGTTCCTGCTAACCTCGTAAGGTGGGAACCTGATGCCCCCGTGTCCCTGATGTCCCTCCCCGCATGGAGGTGGGGCGTGATATAAAAATGGCTGGTGTAAAGCCCCGGGGGTTTGCCTTGCCTTGTCTTTTGCAACGGTAGCTATCGTAGCAAAAGCATTGAAGCATCCCGCACTCCTGTAGGAGTGTCGAAAGGCTATAAGGCGACAATAACGAGAGTTACGCCCAGACAAACGTAATCGATTACTCCACCTGCATCATTGTGCATCATTTTTCTTTTCAGTTTCTAATTAAGCAAATCAAATTACCACCACGCAACTGCGCTATACAGACACACACACATACAATCTCGCACATACATACATAAATGCACGTAGATGCACCCCTGCACAGCTGCATGAGTTTCCCAATGTCGGTAAATATCCAGCAGCGGCAGCAACAGCAACGATATTGTTCAGTGATACTTACGCCCCCCTGCCTTCAGCAGCGCACATTAAGCAATATTACTCTACCCTAATACCACACATCATGCAACCTCATGCACACATCGCCTCGCAGTTCAACAGTTATCCCACCAATCGTGAAGTCCTGGCGAAACAGTAACGCCATCTGCGCTGGACGAAAGAAGCAACCCATACCCTCAACACATACACAAATATGAAGTCACAACCGTACGGCAAGGTAGAAGTGGTACGGATACGCCGTACGCCAACCTCCGCCCCACCCCTGATCGCTAATTTCTTAGCACCCCCTACTGCCCCAATTCAACGCAACGACCCGCGTCCATGTCCTCCTGCGGCTGCTGCCACTGGGCAGGTGGCGCTCAAGGTGGCAGCGCCCGGTACGCGGCTGGATTGAGTCGTCTGGCGTGAACGGCGGTGGGACGGCGGCGCAGCGCTCCGGTGATGGCGGTGCCGGGAGCCTCCCTCGGTCCGTCGAACAGGCCGAAGCACCAAAGCACACCGCCGTAGCTAGCCGGGTCGCAGCCGTCCAACGCGTAACTGCGAGGCAGAGGAACGCGGCGATGCGACGTGAAGTGGTGGACGGGAGACGTGGGGCAGAAAAGAAAAGATTGTACAAACCCGGAGGACGGGGACAGGAGGAGGAGGAGGGAAGATGAGGAGAACAAGAGAGTGTGTGTGCGTGTTTACCTCCTCTATCCAGTACAGTACAGTACAGTCAGACAAATATGCCGTAATGCGCTACACCCCGGGGGGTGTGGAGGGGGAACGGAGGACAACAAGCCCGGCCTCGGCTCCAGCCACACCACAACAACACCGAGGGGCAGTCCCGGCTACCGGTGGTTCAGGTGAAGAGCGACGTCCAGGGCCCTCTGCGGGGTGGGGCACCAGCCCAGCAGCGACTTGCCCCAGGTCATCCTGACGTTGTTGTGCAGCTCACCGTAGGAGGACAGCTGGCACTGAGCGGCATCCCAGAAGGGGTCCCCTAGGGGTCGGGGTGGGGATTGGGTGGCGGGGGTAGGGGTGGTAAGGTTGCAGTATCAGGGCGGGGAGTATGAGGCGTATGGGGCGGCCCCTTGACGGGGTGGGGCGTCAGCGCCACGGGGTGGGGAAGAGGTGTGTATGTACGTGTGTATGTACGTGTGTATGTACGTGTGCGCGGAAAGAGGAGGAGGAGGGGGAGGGGGGTATTTGCATTAGCGCGCACAAAGATTCACGCCTGTCTGAAACCCCAAGGGAGTCCCACGTACCAGTGGCACCGAGTTCAAGCTGTTGCAGCGTCTTTACGACCCGTGGGTCAGTCGCATGGGCTGCCAGAGTGTCCTGCGCCCAGCGGGGCAGCACCGACAGCGATTGCAGCTGCGAGTACCTGCGCGGGTCGGTGGGATCGCGGCACACGCATGAGCAGGTCGTGAATCGCTCGTACACGCAGCTCTCAACACATGTACGGAAAATCCGCTGATGAAGGTGTGATGGATGCGGGGGGGAGGAGGAGGGCGAAAAAGAAGAATAGGAAATCAATGAACAGGCCGCGAGCCATCCGCTCGATACCTGTACCTGTACCTGTAAAAGCAGAAGCTGTACGATAGCTCCCGCCAAACCAGCAGCTCGTCCAGAAACTTCCCGGCTCCGGAGCCGCCGCTGGCGGCTGCCTCACGGGCGATCCTGCAGCGGGCCCCGGTGCCATCACATGGTTACGCCATTATCAATAGCGATGGCGGTGATATGGTGACATGCATGTGATATTGGTACCCGGCATGGGGTGGGGTGCAGTGGGCAAACCAGATGGTGACAGGGTCCTCAGCCCGCTCCTTTT